TTCTTTTTAGCAAAGAGGGCCGGTGCTCCCCACGATGAAACACTAGGACACCCCTTCCCCGGAAACCACATGGCCTAAGAACTTGACCTCTCCTAGCCAGAACTCACACTTCCCAAATTTGGCATACAGCCTGTGGGCTCTAAGCAACTCGAGCACCACTCTCAAGTGTTCCTCGTGCTCCTCCTCCGAAGGCGAATAAATCAGAATGTCGTCCAGGAAAACGTCTACAAAGTGATCTAAGAATTCCTGGAATATCCGATACATCAAATCCATAAACACTGCTGGTGCATTGGTGAGCCCGAAAGGCATCACCAGAAACTCATAGTGGCCATACTGCGTACGGAATGCCATTTTCGGAATATCTTCCTCCCTGACTCTCAGCTGATGATAACCCGATCTTAAGTTTATTTTGGAGAAACAATGAGACCCTTTCAACTGGCCAAACAAGTCATCTATACGAGACATAGGGTACTTATTCTTAACCGTAGCCCGATTCAACTTCTGATAGTCGATACAAAGTCTCAAGGCACCATCTTTCTTTTTAGCAAAGAGGACCGGTGCTCCCCATGATGAAACACTAGGGCGAACAAAATCCTTATCTAGCAACTCTTGGAGTTGAACCTTCAACTCACTGAACTCGGCTGGGGCAAAACGGTAAGGTGCCATAGTAATCGGCACTGTGCCCGGCACTAAATCAATAGAGAACTCTATCTCTCGATATGGTGGCAAACTAACAAGGTCCTCGGGAAAAACATCCGAATACTCGCAAATCACTCTCGGTAACTCAGCCCCGGTCTTATCACACTCACTACTCATAAGGCTAGCGAGAAGACCACTAAGCTCACTCCACCCTCGCGGATCATACACCGGTGGCAACACACTACCAACCCAATCCCCCAAGAAATGGAAAAACTCCCCGCTCACGGTACAAACTGTGACCCTCTGGCGGTAACAATCAATAACTGCCCGGTATGACGATAACCAGTCCATACCCAAAATAACATCAAAACCTGACATGGGCATAACTACAAAAGGAAATGGAAGTCAGCGGTCGGTGACCTCTATGTCACAACCTCTACATCTGTGTTTCAAAATCAATTCGCCCCCAACAGGTGATATAACACAAATAGGAGATGCTAACTGTGCTAACTCCAATCCCAAAACAGATGCGAATGCAGCAGATATAAAGGAATGAGATCCACCCGTATCAATCAACACATTGGCAACCGAGTTGCAAAACAAAAAGGTACCTCTCACAACAGATGGAGCCGGTACAAGATCCTGCGCGGTAACAGCTTACATGCCCTGTAGGTCCCTGATCTACCTGCTCACCTCTCGAAGCAAAGGATTGATGCACAGACTGAGACGATGAAGCCCCCTAATTGGCCCTCGAGGCCTGAACAGACTGTGCTGGCTGCAAACTCTGCGTCTGTCTCAAACCAGACGCACCGAGTGTACCACCCAACTGTGGACAAAACCTCTTTAGGTGTCCTGTCTGACCACACTGATAACAAAAGGACAACCGGCCTCTGCCCTGACTCTGACTCTGAGGCCGAGCTGAAGATAAAGCTACTCCCTGACCTCCTCCCCTCTGCGGGCAAGCTGGAGACTTGTGGCCCAACTGACCACATTTGAAATAGGTAAAGTCCCCTTGGCTACCTCTCCCAGAACCTAAACTCGGCACTGGAAAGGTGGATCTCGCTAAAGCACTCTGGGGCTGTTGAGGGTTACAACCCCTCTGCCTTCTGCCATCCCCCTGGCCTTCCTGACTCCTCTTGGAGACCCTCATCCTCTCCTCCTCCTCCATCATAGACTCCATATGGGTCGCAGCATCCACAAGACGCCCATACTTCCGGATCATGGATCCTCCAACCCTCATCTTGAGGCCATGCCTCAACTTCCTCTCGAACTCAATACAGCGGCGTTCCTTCGATGCCACGAGCTCAGGTGTGAACCTGGACAAACTGGTAAAGGCGGCCTTAAACTCGGCCACTGACAAGCCTAGCTGCTTAAGCTAACAAAACTAGTCCCTCATCTTTTCCCTAATAGCTGGGGCTAAGTACTTCTCCTGGAAAGCATCAACAAAAGCCTCCCAGGTGCCACCAATACGGCCCCTCGTGGACTTCCACCATTGACCCGCATCCCCTTAAGCTGGAAAGATGCCAAGGTCACCTTTAATAACCCGTCCTCGATGCCAACCATCTCAAATGTCATGGTCATCTGCTCTAACCACTCATCAGCCTTGAGTGGCTCCTTTGGATCCCCAACAAACTCGTCCGGATTAGACTAGAAGAACTCCCTCTTTTGAAAAGAAGGCCCTGCATCAACAACCGGGGCTTGAACCTGGGCTTGAACTGGAACCTCAGCTCTGAGAATGCCCATAGATTCCCTCAAAGCATCGGCTATCCCATGGGCTAAGGCGCCCATAGCCTGCTGACCAGCTGGCTCCGCCACATTGGCCAGGCCAACCCCCTCTTGCATTGCTGGAATCTCATTCGGTATAGGCACTTCCTGCCGCCTAGGCTTACCACGCCTACCACCTCGTCCTCGTCCTGACATCCTAATAAAGGTAACGAAGACATTAGCACATTCACAATTATGCCGAAGCTATAACACTCTCGTCCTAATACATGGACAATTGTAATTCACTCTACGTAAGCACATAAACACATAAGCACTTACGAATTTCGTTTCCAGATAATGATAGTCCCGAGGCGTTACTAGAGTTCCGGTTAGAAACAGCATTGATCAAGTGCTTTTCCAACAAGACTCACAGAAACCCAAGGATCTAATCAACATCCTAGAAACTAAATCCCATACCCAAATAGTCACATAAACATGTTATCACATAAGCATATAACACTACATCTAAGTCTCTATCAAGCGAGACGAGACGAACCCATTGTGGTACTAACCACTTCCCGCGTACCCAAAGTATTCGAACCCGGTACGCTTTAATACCAAGTTATAACGCCCTCAAAAATAAACCCATCATAGCATACATTCATGATAAGTAAAAGAGTTCTCATATTATAATCATCAGAGTATTCTTACAAAATGTATTACATGTTGACAACAAAAGTAAATGCCCTATAGGCTTACAACTTTCTACGTCAACACTTGGTTACAAAAGGAGAGTACTAACTCTACACAAAAGAAGCCCTCCGCTTGATATACATGTAATACAAAAATGTAATCACAAAAGATGTCCCAGCCACTAAGCCTCTCAAGCTACGTCCTTGGAGGTGGCATGCTACCAGTACCTGAAAATGATGTCCCATATAGGGTGAGCCAATGCCTAGTAGAGATATGCTAAACATAATATGAGCAATAACTAAAACATTAGCACTTGACAAATGTTCAACTTAACAAAACTCAACTTATAAACATGGCTCAGAACCTGGCCAAATAACTAAAATGAGGCTACATCTCATGCCAACAATACTACAACTTGCCATTTTACGGAAATTGCGCCCGCGGGATTCGACACCCATGTATTTTTATTCTCTTATGGTCATTTTACGGATATTTCATCCATGGGACTTGGCACCCATGTATAGATATATTCGGACTGCCATTTTACGAAAATTGCGTCTGCGGGATTCGACACCCATATATAATTACATTCAAATGGCCATTTTACGAAAATTTCAACCATGGGATTCGGCACCCATGTATTCAGATACACAACTTGATTAGTTTCAATTCACCTAATCATCATGCAATGTCCACAACAATCAAGACTATTCTCCACTGATAGCCCAAAGCAGTTATTTCTAAATAGATAATAAATGCCTCAACTGATATATATATAATTGATATTTTCAAAAGTGAGCAATTTATAAATCCAACTCCACTATTCTATCTCTTAATGATTAAATTTCATTATCCCTAACTCAATTTCACAATAAATGTCATTAATTACACTAACGACCCAAATATGCCCAAATATGGCATTTTTCCCCTTTAAACTCAATATTGACCCAAAGGTCCAAATATTACCAACAACATCAATAATCACTTTTTAAGACCCCAAATATATATATATGAGTCAAAAAGACAAAACCCTTCTTTTTCAATATAATACATTACAAATCCTGACCTTCCAAACCAAACCATTTATACAAAAGCTCTACATTTAGGTTAAAGATCATAAAGATGAATAGGAATCCCTACCTTAAGAGATGAAACCCAAAAGAAATGATGAAGAACTCGAAAATGCTCCAAATCCCAAGATTGTCATATCAAAATGTAGCCCTCAACGATCAACACACTTTTTACGAAGGCCCAAGGGTAGAAAATCACTCCAGTAGATCAATCCTAAGAGAGAAGGAAGAAAGTAGTGAAAGAAACTATCAAAAATGGCTTTTCGAAAAAGTAAGAGAGAGAGTGAAAGTTAAAAAGTGATCTAAAAAGGCCCAGCTGATATCTGATATATGTATGACCCGCTCGAGCGGAAAATAGGACGCTCGAGCGTCAGACACAAAACCTGGACCCGCTCGAGCGTAAAGATTCCCGCTCGAGCGCCAAGACACAACTGCAAAACACACCCGCTCAAGCGCAAAGGGAAGGCCGCTTGAGCGTAGATTCCCCCCTTCCAGAACTTTTACAGACAATGAACTACCCGCTCGAGCGCCAAGACACCCGCTCGAGCGCTACCCGCTCGAGCGTGAAAAACACACCTGCAGAAGTTTTGCAGAGGCATGAAATGCTGAGAGTGTGAAAACCCTGCTCGAGCGCAATAAGGTCCGCTCGAGCGGACCACCAAAAATCAAACTCCACTCGAGCGCAAAGGGACCCGCTCGAGCATGTCACCAAAAATCTTGGTAACAAGGAATGGGACTAAAGCTCAACCAACCTGTTCGCAACACGCCCAATACATCCTAAAACTCAAACACACGGAATTAAAGGATAACAACAAGATATACAACCACCAACTCCACGGAACCTAAGTCTCGAATACAACAATCAAAGGAAGAGAAACCGGGATCGATATAAGAATGATGGAAAAGAAATGTAGGGAATTGAATTGCCAAACACTAGAACTTCAGGTTTACTTGAATGATCTTCCTGGAAACGATTTCAATACCCTCTTCAAAGGCCTGTCATCTAAGGTTGTTGGTAACAAATGTGAGGAAGTTTCTTGTTATGTGATTGGAGTACCGGGGTCTTTCCATGGCCAACTTTTTCCTCGTAACAGCTTGCATTTAGTTCATTCTTGTTACAGTGTTCATTGGCTTACTCAGGTTTGTACATCCATTTGTTTCAACTAGTAATTAACCTTGTACTTATCAAATTATCCTATGTTAATTCCTATCACAATATGAGCATGGGAGTTAGATGTTGGTCGCATACTGTGATGGACACATGAATAATTTTCATTGACCATGCCATGCCACTAGAGAAAGATCAATATTTACTCGAACTATATGACAGGTACTATATGTATTTATTTGTATTTGTTTTATGGACACATATAAAAGTTTTTAAAAAATTGTAAAATTATTCCAAATATGTAGACTCAAAAAAATGGGCAATATAAACCTGTGTAAAATGGTCTTTCTCCGTGTCTTTCCCAGTGTTTACCGAAAATTTCATAAAGTCTGGAATTTTCATATGATGGGCTTGGTGCATGTGCAACTTAATTAGGATGTGCTTCTTAACCAATGAATGATGGTTCGATCCTACTCTCTTTTTATTAATGTAATTTCATTGTATTGCTTGTATAAGTTGTATTACTTATTTCATATTACCCATTTGCTTTTGATGTGTAATAAGCTTGCACACTAACCATTTCAATGGTTTCTTTGGTGAAATACAAGGCACCAAAAGAACTCACAAGTAGAGAAGGCTTGGCATTAAACAAGGGGAAGATTTACATATCAAAGACAAGCCCTCCTGTTGTAAGAGAAGCCTACTTATCTCAATTTCAAGAAGATTTCACAATGTTTCTCAACGCTAGATCCCAAGAGGTGGTTCCAAATGGTTGTATGGTGTTGTTACTTCGTGGTAGGCTATCTTCTGATCCTTCAGACATGGAGAGCTGCTTTACTTGGGACTATTAGCCATGGCCATTGTTGAATTGGTTTCATAGGTAGCTGCAATTTTTAACACTTCTTTACCATTAAATGTCTTCGTTTGATGTTCACAAGCTCTTACATACCTCTAGAACACAATTCTTCTAGGCCTAAAAATGGTAAAACATGCAAACTATAAACCCAAAATTCCCTTAGGTGCCATCCACAAAGGTCTGATTTTGCTTGTTATATATTTTTTGTGCCAAATCTCTCATTTCTCAAAATTGGTTTCAATCAGTCGTCATTACTCTCAAAATTTGTTACATACATATATAAACTATTCTTTAATTGAGTTAAAATGAAATAGTTATTTGCCAAACCAAACCAAACCAAGCCTTAAGTCTCATCAAATGGGATCGACTACATGAAATAGTTATTAGCATTTTACTAAAATGAGTATTCTTCATTGCTCTCAAAAAGCATTTCATATATATAAACTACGCTTTAATCAGAGTTAAAATAAAATTATTATGAACATGTTATCACATTGACTCCTATTTTACTCTCTGAAGGTAAAATATTCATAACTCAAAAACGTACTAAGAGTTTGGTGCTCAAACCAGTTAGATTCTTAAAGCTTTCCAACTATTTCAGATCATGAAAAACAGAGTTCCATGTGTCCAAAATTAATAATTTTTTGTTTAATTTTTCTCCCCAACATTTAAAAAATATAAGTCATCTTGATGAGTTCTTTCCTTTAAAATGATAAAATCAATGCTTATCCCATCATTTGTATATATATATACATATTTGGCATATCACTACCCTAAAATTATTTGCTTTATTTATTCCAATCTATTGATTTTCTCTCTTTCCTTCGTGATAATAGGGATTGATAGATGAAGATAAATTAGACACCTTCAATGTACCTAGCTATTTTCCATCACTTGAGGAAGTGAAAGACATAGTGGAGAGGAACAGATCATTCACAATTGATCATATGGCGGGGTTTGAACTTGTTAGCCTACAGATGCAAGAGAATGATACATGGGTTAGAGGGGAAAAGTTTGCCAAGGTTGCCAGGGCCTTCACAGAGCCTATAATTTCAAATTAGTTTGGACATGAAATCATGGACAAACTATATGACAAGTTTACTCACATTGTAGTTTCAGATTTGGAAGCAAAGATGCCGTAGACCACAAGTATCATTCTAGTGCTTTCCAAGATTGTTGGATATTTTTTTTAAGTGTTGTGAAATAAACTGTCGTCCCCATCACATATATGCTACTAGAGGGTTGTGCCAATGTATTGCACAAGAAGATTTGAGAAGGGTCAAATATAGAAAGCTTTTTGCTCTTGTGTGGAGAGAGAATGTTTTCTTGATTTAAATCTGTGATACCCAAATTGTAATGTTGGGAAGAAATGAGAAGTGGAACATGAAATCTTAATTTCTTTACCTTATGTATGTATGGAATTAGTGGTTGTTTGCTAAAAATAATGTCTCCTCCAATTATTGTAATGTATTAGGATGGTTCTTGCAAAGAATTTTTTGCCCTTTTTAAATCTCAAATTGAAATATTTTATCAATAGTATCAAAGTCATATATAATAGCATTTCATTAATTAATTCATGACAATGCATGCTAAGTGTATTTGTCTATGAGTCTTTTGAAAGAGGAAAAAAAGAAAAAGAAAAGAAACTCATATTTAGATGTGGAGGAAACCACGTGATAAGGATTTCAAAGGTTAGAATTGATATATTTTTAAATGTTGATGGTTTAATTTGAAACAATTTTGAGTTTCTTTGTTTCAGTGTCTCTTATGCTTTGCTACCTATTTGGGAACCTCTCCAATGTGGTAGTGTTGCTGGTTATTCCTTCTTGTTGTTCTGGATTGTATTGATGTATTATTTTTTATATAATATTCCATTGTTCGCTAATACAATTGGTTACACTTTTTTTTTCCTGATCAAAACAATTTCAAACAATCAAAAAGTTAGTATTTGCTTTGTTATAGAAGTCAAACTTTAGGTTTTTTTTTTTTCCTAATAGCAATAATCTAAGCAAAATATTAATAAAAATGAAATCCTGAATTGGAAGAGGTTTTGTTTGATATTTTTTCAAATTAAGAAAATTTAATCACAACAAGCTAGCAATTATATTTTTGAGTAATGCCAAGATATAACTAAATTTTTATATCAAATTGGCATAGAAAATTATGTGTCATTACTGTTTTTAATGTAATAGACCTCACCTCCACATTCATTCATAGATCATTTTCATGGCCAAACATCATTCAAAGTTCAAATTCCAAATCTTGAATACAACAAGCACAATCTCATTAATTGGAACAAACATGAAATGACCTATCTAGCAACAACAATTGCAAAAAGAGACAAAACACACATGTATGTGGGACCCACCCCTTGTGAGAGATTGTATCCCATTCTGTGTTTAATTTTTGTATTCTTAACATTACTGTTTTGATTAGTATGGGTGCCATTGGTTGCTAGCCCAAGTAGGAAGAAATCTTGTAAACCAATTGTTGATAAGGTCAAGCCTAAAGCTCGCTGGATGGAAAAGAAGGCTTTTATCATTTGCTGGTAGGTTGACTTTGATCAAGGCTACGTTATCCAATTTGCCAATGTACTATCTCTCTTTATTTAAAATGCCAGCAGGAATAACGAAGGAGATTGAAAGAATTCAGGCTGCTTTTCTATGGGGAGGACCAGATTTGAAGAGGAAATTCAGGAATAGCAAAGGAGATTGAAAGAATTCAGGCTGCTTTTCTATGGGGAGGACCAGATTTGAAGAGGAAATTACACTTGGTGAAGTGGAAGGAGGTTACAAAGAGCAAGATGCAAGGAGGGCTGGGGATTCGAAGAATTAGAGATTTTAATGGTTGTCTTTTGATAAAGTGGTGGTGGAGGTTTGCTAATGAAGATGAGGCTTTATGGAAGAAGGTGGTATGTAGTAAATACAATCTAATTGGGGAGTATGGTTTCCAACTTTGAACCAAGGTAAGAGGGCATCAAAATTGTGGAGTGATATTTTAGCTGTTGCAAAGCACAGGCCTATGATGTTCAATTTTTTCATAATCAATGTTCAGATTAGTGTGGGTAATGGGAACAGAGTGAGGTTTTGGCAGGATAAGTAGTGAGGTGATGGTTGTTTCAAAGAGAAATTCCCCAGGTTGTGTAGGTTATCCACTAATATAGGAGGTTCTTTAAGGTCTTTTGTTGAAAAGCAAGATAGTACTGGTGGTTGGGAAATTAGCTTCAGGAGGAATTTATTTGTTTGGGAGAAGAAGGAACTCAACAAGCCTAGAGAGGAGTTATGTCTGGCTCCATCACTAAATAGGAATGAAGAGGATAAACCAGTTTTGTTAGCAGCACAATCAGGCCAGTATATTGTTTCCACCCTTTATAAGTATACAAATTTGAAGGCTGGTGAGCAGTCTACCATTAGTAAACTGGTATGGGTGAATTATCTCCCACCAAAGTCCAATTCTTTGGGTGGCTTCCATGGAAACACAAGGTGAAACCATCTGATTTTCTGCAGAGGATAGGAATTTTGGATGGAAGTGTGTCTTATCAGTGTGCGTTCTACAATAATGAGCTAGAAACAGTTCAACATGTGCTAATCTTATGCCCTTTGGTTTGGAGGGTGTGGACTGATTTGCTACGGTGGTGAGGAATTCAATGGGTGGTTCTTGAATTAGTGGAAAGGTTGTTACAATGGTGGGATGGTAACAGAGTCAAAAAATCTGAGAGGAGAATCTGGATGGCTTTATCTCTGGTTGCCATGTGGTCTTTATGGAAGTATAGAAATGATTGCTTGTTCAACATTATACAACCAATGATGGGGGAGCTGAAGGAGGCAATCATTATCAAATTAGCTATTTGGTTGAAGGCTTACTTCAAAGAGTACCAGTATTCTATTTCTAACTTTTTATGTAATTTTTCTCATATTAGAAAATGTTTAGGGGGCTGAAAGCTTACAAATTTTTTGTAAGCTTGGGTGTTTTTGCTGTTTCTGTTGTTCTATTGGAATCTTTCCAACTCGATTCTGGGGGTTTGGGTTAGTGTTGGTGAAGATGGGCTACTGATGTTGTACTTGTTAATGATGCTGGTTCTACTTGGTGAAAAGGAGTATCTACTCTGTGGTGGTTGATCTGTGTGGGCAGTGATCCCTTTTAATTGGTTGTTGTTGCTGATGTTCTTGCTTTGATGTCCATTTTCTGCTGATATGGGTTACTGCTGGTTTTGTGTGGATAATGATCTTTTAATTGGGCTATTGCAATTGATATTTTGTTGTTGTCCTATTTTATTATTGTGTCTGTTGAAGCTATTATTTTGTTATTGTCCTGTTTTGTTGTGTTTGGTAGTTTTGGGTTATTTGGTATGTATTAGTTTTGGTTAGCTTTTACTTGGTTGAGGTTGATTTGGGTGTTTGTGGTTGGTTCCTCACCAACTCTTGATGGTATGCTAGCATATGATTGGGCGGTCTTATTGGTGCCAACCTAGTTGGGATTGATTTGGCTCGCTATGATGTTTTTGCACTCATCCTTTTTTTTCTTTTATTGTTGAAATAGTTTTTTGTTTCATTAATAAAGTTCATTTTCTTTGCTGATCAAAAAACATTACTGTTTTGATTATTTATTTATTTATTAATTATTTCCTTTTATAATGAAACCTACACAAGATTGTTATCCTATCTACACATTATTGTCATTTTTTTTTGTTTAATCTATTTGGATAAAAATTAAATTTAAACTTTTATTTTTTTTTTTTGACTTTGTTTTGAACAAATTCTTACAAAATTGCATTGTGGGATAGAAAACTATAATGATTTTGCATCTAAAATTTCTCTAAAACATTAATCTAAATTTCTAGTTTTTTTTTACTTTTAAATTTTCGTAAATACACATTTTTTAAATTTTAAAATCCTCAAAATAAAAAGTCAAAAAAAAAAAATAGGCTTTTCTAACTCATTTCTAATTTGAAAGTAAAAAACTTTGGAAAGGAAATTTCAATGTAACTTTAGTCTCATAT